TATCCTAACATTAGTGTCTGCCTGAGATCCAACCCAGAGGAAAGTGGGTCTGAGAGCAAAGTGACCAGAAACAGTTCACCCTGGTGTTTTTGTGAAGGATGCTGGAAACTGCAGCTGCCAGTGCCTCAGAAACTACATCAACACCAGTGGACAGGAACGCTTAAAGGTGGTGTAGTCAGGTACCCAGGAAGTTCCAGTTTTTGGGAGAAATCTTGAAAGTAAACGCTACCCTTCCGAACCAGTTTTCCCCTCAGCTCCTCCTCTCCCCTCCCTCTCTGCTCCAGCAAGCCCCGCCCACAAACAGATGCTCTTGCTCGCTCTCATCATTCCAATTAAATTCAGATATAATGCAGATAAATACTTTAGATAATTGCAAACGGGGCCCAGTCAACGTGAAAGTAAAAAGAGTTGGTACTACTGTAGATGGCAACAGACTACCAGCAAACACAATGGCCCTCATTTATCAAGCTTGCGTACGGCAGAAAACTAATGTACACCTTGCGTACGTAAGTTGCGACGTGAGGATCGGCATTTATCAATCTGCACGTGAGTGTTACGACCAATTCTCACGACATGTCTGACATCGTGTACGCAAGTTTGAGTGCAGCAAATGTCTAACTTTAAATAATTGATAAACAAACCTCAAAACTGTCATTAAGCACAATCAGCCAGATTTCATTAAAGAGTAAGACGTAAATAAAATTTGTTTTGTCCTTAGTGAATAGGCCTATTTGATAACTGCCCAAAAACACTGCCACAGAGCAGGAGCGCCATTTCAACATTCCGCACACATGCACGTGTGCCACTGTGGAACGCTGCGTTTGACTCCTAAAAGGCAGGTGTCTCTGTCTTGGCCCAGCAGCGGGGATGTTGTTGTACACTCCTGAAAGAGTGTGGGACATCATTTGGGCCAGTTCAGTTTTGCACAATGTTGCACTGGCGAATGGAGTGCCGTTGCCGGTGCAACGTGTGGACCCAATGCCCGGAGAACAATAATGAGGAGAGACTCCACAAAAGGTGCTGCACAGAGGAGACAGGAAATTATTGGTTGATTCTGACATGTAAAGTATAAGTTTAGAAAGTGCTCTTGCTATTTAATCAGTGATAAAAATCCAATAGAAATCCATAAAAATGTGCCTCAGGGGCAGCAACACACCGTTTGGTGACATTAATAATTATTATTTTTGTTGAAACTCTGTCAGACTCTCCAGTCTGCTCTACATTACAAAGACGCAACAAATTAAAACTAAATACTTTAAATAAAAGGAGCAACGTACCCTATGTCATGGCAATAAAAAATATGAGGCATGTAAGAGATATTAATTTATCATCACGAGCAACTTATTGACTAATGATTTATTAAAACTTCAGCCACTGTCCACTATTCCGCTGCAGCGCTGTTCAGCGCCACCATAATCCTGCTCCAGACAGGAGTTTTCTGGACTGCTTTTATACCAGTTTTGATGCTTCCAAAGAGAAAATCCTTGTTAGTTTCCACCACAGATGAGAGGATATCTACTTTCAGCTCCAAAAAGTTTCGAATCTTTCTAATATTTCTCCTCTTTCATGTTTGACCTCAGTGGGTGAGGCTTGTGAACCACGAATATTTAAGGGCGTAAACATGTTAATGACGATCGATTTCAGCCGCCACATTTATCGAGACCTGATCATACGTACGCTGGGATTGGTCAGATACGAACCCTTTCATAAATCTCACTTGTGTCCTAACATACGATGAATCCTGCGCTCAGTTCTACGCAAGATTGATAAATGAGGGCCAATGTTTGCAGGACTTCTACAACTAGGATAAAGTGACATAGTCCAGGACCCGAGGTCCCCTTTGACAAGAAACACTTCTGTTACAGACACTTGGCTTACTTTGTTAAAGCGTTTTACCTGTCCAGCAGAAAGGTTACAGGGTCACCAAGATCCCCAAGCGTCCCCCATCGTTTATGTTGACCTGGCTTTTTAGCTCTTGTCCGGTCTACCTCCTTTTTAAGCGCCCGTTATTCCACCAGAGTCTCCAGTATTTACTTCATTTTCTTGCTTGTGTTGGCAGTCGTGACCAAAGGAGGATTCAGACAATTTTCTGAACTTTCTGGTTGGTTTCTACTGTCCGATATTGTCACACGCTAACTTTGTTTGGGCTTGTGAACAATGCAAGGGAGTAGCATCTGCCTCCTCGCTGGGTGAAGCCACTCTGAGAACAGCACCCTCTGGTGACGGGCTGCAGTATAGGTCATAAATCCTGCCTCCTTATGGAGCTGTAGACAAAATTTATAAATTAATGACACAGAATATAAATGTTTCTCCCCCTGGTTGTGATGTTGACATGTAGTTACTGTCAGACTGGTTTGTGCTCAAGTCCTCTTTTTTCTGTACAGCTCCATTTTAAAAGGTTATTAGGGAGTTCATGTTTTCTATAATTGACACCTGATACAGCCTATGGGCGTATGAAGACTGCATAGCTCACCCGGGGGATACGCTGTTTTAGCCGAATGTCATTGCAGCGACTCTCTGCGACTCTCCTGCCGAATGCGCACAATATCACTGCGCATTGTTGGCTTCGGGAAGTGGAGAAAAATTGTGGAATTACCAAGAAATTTTCAGCTTCAAATCCGTATACTGGCGAGAAGTGGAACCAAGTTGTCCGTGGTATAGACAGGCTATGCTCCCAACCAATCAGGCCAGGGAGGTGGAGAACAGTTTTGTTTACAGTCAGAAAGAGCGGGCAGCTCAAAAATGTTAAAATGTTGACTACACAGACATAAGAAAACACAGAGATATCGTGATATTACCAAATGTCATCAATTACTAATAACTATTGACTGATATTAAAAGCTTTTTTGTATAATAACCACAAAAAAAGATGCTTCTTTAACGGATTCCTGCCTACTCCACCTTTAACTAAGAGGAGATGAAGATTAGAGCCACAAATAAAAATTCTTTCACAGTCTTTTTATTGGTTGGCAGTAGCTCAGGAGGTAGTGCGGTCATCCAATAACTGGAAGGTTGACGGTTCAATTCCCCCCTATCCCTTGTCTGTCCGTTGTGTCCTTGGGCAAGACACTTAACCCACCTTGCTCCCATTGTGTCTACTCCCCTGGTGTGTGATTGTGAGTGTTGTGTGGTGGTCAGAGAGGCCGTAGGTGCAAACTGGCAGCCACATTTCCATCAGTCTGCCCCAAGGCTGCTGTGACTACTAAGGTAGTTTACCACCACCAAGGTGTGACTGTGTGAGCGAATGAATGAATGTATCCAATATAAAGCACTGTGAGGATAAAGAGCTATATGAAATCTGATGCATTAGAGAAGAGGTCCAGGTCTGTTGTAAATGGCACTACAGAGAGTCTTGAGACTGGTCTGCAACACAGTGGAGACATTTTGGCTCAGTGCAAAAAAAAGAAAACTCAAACTCACTCCACATTTTCAGCGCCTCTTTCTTCTAAACTCAAACATTATTGATAAAGTCATAAAAACAAACTTAAGGTCTACAAAAAAGACAGTGAACGGCTCTGCAGACTCCTCTCAGCTAAATCTGTGATATTGTACCTCAGGTAGAGCGTAGATCACAGCATTACCACAGATAACCGAGGACAGAAAATGAATACTCTGCTGGAGGAGAAATGAGAGAGCAGAAAAAAAAAGGCCATGAGAAAGATTTCATATCTCTGCTCTCCTCGGCTGGAGCGCGCTCTGCAAAGAGAGAAGTATATTTATTCTAAAATTAACACAATGATCTATTCAGAAACTCAATTTTAACTCAATTAAAGCTCCTCTCCCTGTCGGTCATGCCTTTGTTGCAGTAATCGTCACTCTCTGCTTTTCAGACTTCACTTCTTTGAACACGGAGCTGAAACCGTCAGCAGAGTGAGGGGGAACATTTTAATTCTGCCACACAAGGGGAAGAGAAACCATGACGGAGGAGCAGGTAGGAGAGGGTTAGAGAGCCTGCTGCAGAGAGGAGTGCCACACACACAACACACACACACAAGGAGAGAACAAGAACACACACTCAAACAAATGCAGATGCAGAGAAAATCCCGACTATGCAAATGGTTGAGCTAATGAATTTCTGAATCCAGCCCTGGCTCCTGTGATGGTAATGAGCTTACTTTGGCACAAGCTCATCGCAGCGAGAAAATGAACAAATCATACACACACACACACACGCGCGCGCACTCTCTCACACACACACACAAACCTAAGCCCAGCACAATCTCCTGCTGACAGTAGCTCATCACACCTCAATCGTCCCCTCCCTCCCCCCTTGTCTGACGTCTTTTCAGCCGGCTTTTCTGCAGGATGTCTCCAGTGTAAACCTGTTAGCACGCAGGAAACACAAAAGAAGACGACAGCAGAGAGTGTTCAGAGCCTTTATCAGTCGGGCGAGAATTATTTCTGCTGGACTGAGACTCTGAGAGTGACCCTGCAGCTGAAAGATCAGGAACCAGTCTGAGTTTGATCCATCAGCTTCTCAGAGGTTTCTGCACAGACTGATTTTAAAACCATGTTTGGTGTCTGACTGAGTGTGTTTACATGCAAACCGAAAAAACCTGTAGACATGATTAATACCGTAAATCCTCTAATATGGGCACGCTTCTTAACTTGCTGTTACTGCAGAAGGTACCAGGCCTGTATATAAAGCAGGCTTCTTTGGGGGCTCTGTGTTTGTGCCTCTAAAGTTTTGCAAACAAGCCAAGTATGCAAAGGGTTAAATGCTCCAAAAACTGCACTTTGAAGCAGATAATGTCAGTTTGCACCAGTGAGGCTCACATGCATTCATACTAGCCTTTATACATCTAAAAAGGCCTCATAATTCACAGTTAAAGTGACAATTTGACCAGCTGGCTGATGATGATCATACATTTATTTAAAACTTCTATAATGAGATACTTGAGTATCTCTGGATCTTGTTCAGGAGTGAGGGTAGGATAGAGCGGGAGATCGACAGGCGGATCGGGGCAGCATCAGCAGTGATGCGGACCAATCAGTCATGGTGAAGAAAGAGCTGAGCCGTAAGGTGAGATTCTCGATTTACCGGTCGATCTATGTGCCGATCCTCACCTATGTTCATGAACTTTGGGTAATGACCGAAAGAACAAGAAAGCAGATACAAGCGGCCGAAATGGGATTCCTCCCCAGGTTGGACGGGCTCAGCCTTAGAGATAGGGCAAGGAGCTCAGACACTCGGGAGGCGCTCAGAGTAGAACTGCTGCTCCTCCACGTTGAGAGGAGTCAGCTGAGGTGGCTCTGGTTAGGATGTCTTCTGGACGCCTCCCGTTAGAGGTGTTCTGGACATGTCCCACCGGGAGGAGACCTCGTGGCCAGCCCAGGACCAGGTGGAGGGATTATATCTCTCGCCTGGCCTGGGAGCGCCTGGGAATCCCCCCTGGAGGAGCTGGTAGAAGTGGCTGGGGTGAGGGCCGTCTGGGCTTCCCTCCTGAAGCTGCTGCCTGGATGAAGCGGAAGAAAACGACAACTTCTATAATGAGGAGTAAAACTAGGCTGTCTGTAAAATTTGTCACATGTCGGAGCCAAAGATATTGAAGTTATAACCTAGAATAAGCTGCAGTTCACTTTGTGTGCTGTAAGTGTCGCTGTCCTGTTATCTGGGGCTGAGGAATAAAGGTAGCTATGTCAATCAGTACGTTTCCATGACACTTGAGAAAACCGTATTATCGCCTTACTTTGATTAAGACCGGACAACTGAAGTGCATGTAAACACCTTAGTCCGACTATAATCAGAGTTTGAGAACTCGAATTGAGACACCCAGATAATGTGATTGGAATTCGATTTTCTCTACCATGTAAGCAGCGTAGTCAGAGAATGATCAGACAATGTATGTGTGTGTGCGCCACACCTTCGTAACCCCGGAACAGAAACACCAGAGAAGAAGCGGCGCTATCATTTAAAGAACTTTAAACTCAGAAGCAACACAGCTAAAGCACAAAAGAACGTCCACTTTTGGAACGACGAGGAGAGCGCCATTATGCTTTCCGTCGTGACAGAAATTGACATTTTAAAGTATTTGGACGGTTGCAAAACGAGGAACGGAGACATATTTTAAAAAGTTCCGGAAACAGCGCTTCTGTGAAGACCCATATCGCCCCCTAGTTTTGGGGAGCAGGGCACGTTCACGTCAATAATTCAATTTTCTCTGCTGCATGTACAAGAAGAGAAGTCCGATTCAGCGAAAAAAAAAAAAAACGAATTATTAGCTTAGTCCGATTATACTGTGTATGTAAACGTACTGACTGTTGTTGGAAAGTGATTGACCCGGGAGGGCAAAAATGTTTTTGATCACTGTGGTGCTTAATGGCAGCATTTTCTTTGTTTACTCGGTGTTGTTTGATGGGAATTGCAAATGGACTTTGGTAAAGTTCATCCCGATAAATTTTTGACCCAGGTTACTCTGGGTCAAGCATCTCAGTAGGATAAAGTATAGACCTAGCCCCTACGTCACATCTGTCATAATATGATAAAAATAATAATAATAACCTCTCCATCCAGCTCCTCACATACTCTGAGACTCTGTCAGGATTAGGGTGCACAGGGCAGCTCTGAGCGGTAGAGAGTGGAGATGCTAACAGCCATAAACCCAGTCTGAGATAGTCTGAGTTTTTGTTCCTCATGGTCCTCCTACAGCTCTGCTCTAGTCCTGATCCTGTGAGAGCCCTCAGGTCTGCAGGAGTTTTAATGAGGCGTCTTTTTATGATGGTTCATGTCTGTGTGGTGGTGAAGTGACTGTAGAGCAGGTGGGCTTGTTTTCCTCCTGCGTACATCTGTGTTTGAAGAACACGCTCTGTCATTAACAGGCGCTCCACTTACCCACATTTACATCTCGCTCTCACGCGGTGCCCCAGCTGCCGGAGGAGACATCTGTCCGTCACATCAGCTGTGCGTGTTACACCGTCTCCCGGGGGACGATGGCAAACTGTTGAAACACGGGGCGAGCGACAGCAGAACAGAGGGAGAGAGAGCACGATCGATATGCAGAAAATGAAAAACAGATTTCCGACAGCTGCAGAGAGGAACAGCTGTCAGAGTGAAACCTGCTGATTAATGAGGAGAAGAATGAAGATTCATGAAGTCAGAGATGGATGAGAAAACAAAACAGCTCAGGAGATAACCTTTGGACCCGATCATCTTCAGGACCATGAATGCTTTCACTTGATTTTTCACTCATGAAACCTGCAGGAGGATGAGGGGGAGTGAGATGTTAAAGTCCTTCTCATGCTGCTGTAGACCTGAGCTCTAAATCAGTAATTTTTAACCTGTGTACTGTGAGAGGTCGTCAGGTGTGCTGTGGGATATTATTGAATTTGAAAATAATAGCTATTGTTGAGTGTCTGTGCTGTAAAAAAGTGAGCGTCAGAGTAATACTATTCTATGCCAGTAGGTGGCAGCAGACGGCTAATTGCTTGTGAAAAATACAAAAACTATAGAGAGACTGGGAGCTGTTGAGGAAGAGCTTAGTGTGAGTCTTTCTTCCATTCCTGCCAGGATATCAGCTTTGTGTTCATCTCAACAGGGTCAAGGTGCATTTTTTTTTTTTTTTTGTAGGATGGTAGGGGAAAGTCCAGCCTCCATCGCCTCTGATTGGCTAGAAAAGCTGGAAACGTCATCACATGCTCAAGTCAAACGCGGGCAGTCAGCTCTGTACATCAAACAGAACATTAGAGAACATTATCACACTTCTGAATCTCCTAACCCTAACCCAGCAGACGATGACGTTTCACAGTCATAAGGAATAACCAATCGGAGCCCAGCACTTCTAGCCAATCAGAGGTGAAGGAGGGAGGGACATTCCCCTACCATCCTACCAAAAAAAAAAATTCGCGTCCAGGGTTCACACTGAGTAAATATTAATACATTTAGAAACCATATCACTAAGTATATTCTAGGGATGCACCAAAAATTCAGCCACCAAAAATGGCTCAAAAGTGCATTTCGGATTTCAGCCGAAACATTTGTTGTTTTGACTCACGGGCGCCATCTAAAGGTGTAAACCACTAAGAACATGCAGCAACATGCTGACTCCAAAACTCCAAACTCTCATTGCAGTGGCATAAATTAATATTATAATAATTTGTACAATTGCAAAGCCTTGATTCTAGTGCAATTAGTACACAGTCATAGCCATAAATACAATGGTACTAATAATTGGCAAAATAATTTCTTTCGGTTTTCGGCCTTGGTTTCCTCATTTTTGGTGCATTCCTACGTTCTAATACATATACTGTGTTCGGCTACAGACTGTTATTTTGGTTGGTGGTGTGCCCCAGGATTTTGTCAATGTAGAAAATGTGCCGTGGCGCAAAAAAGGTTGAAAAACACTTCTCTAGATGGACTAATGAAGAAGTCTGAACCAGCTGAAGATGAGAGATGTTCTCCCATCACTCTTGTCTCCTGATGATGACTTTCAGACATGAATTAGTCTTTACCTCCAGCCTTCTTGAGTCTGGTGTATCAGCAGTATTTACTCTCCTGCTGAGATGCAGTGTTGCAGTTTCTACATATTATCTTCACAGCAGCAGACAGAAGCACTCAGGTCTGTGGACTCAAAGAAAAACAGTCGAGAAGATTTACGCTCAGCAAAACTCTCGGCTTTAAACTCACAGACCATCAGTTTTTCTTCTCACATTTTAACTCAAACTGAATTTGACTGATGGACACTGAGAGGCCCTGCTTCGTACTAAATGTGTGTTTTCAGGCAGTACATATGTTCTGGTGTTTCCAAAGGCATCTCTGCTGACAGCACACTTTTTCTCACAGGACTCACAAGACCCAGACTGAGGCGCCTGTTTTCTGCTGCACATGTTGATATTTTTTCTTATAGAGTGAAGTGCTGCAGAAAAATTAGTCCACATTTACGACCCCAACTCCAAAAAGAAAGGGACTCTGTAGACTTTAGTGAACCCAGTAAACCAGGTTCTGGAGTCTGACAGGCCATTGAGACAGGCCATTTCTTCAGATCCTCTGAACCTTTAAATGAAATCAAGAATAAGAACAAGAACTTTATAATCAATTGTCTGTAGTCTCTTTTGTCATGACTCATATTTGTCATGTTGCATTTTTGTCATGTCTCATATTTGTCATGTCTCATTTGTCATGTCTCATTTGTCATGTCTCAATGTCATGATTCATTTTTGTCATGTCTCAAATTTGTCATATCTCATCTGCCATGTGTCATTTTGATCATCTCATATTTGTCATGTCTCATTTGTCATGTCTCATATTTGTCGTGTACCTTGTCATTTCTCATATTTTTTATCTTTGTCATGTCTTATTTGTCATGTCTCATATTTTTCATGTCATATTTGTCATGTCTCATATTTGGCATTCCTCATATTTGTCATGTCCCATTTGTTATGTCTTCATTTTTTAACGTCTTTGTTTTGTCATGTCTCATATTTTTCATGTCTCATATTTTTCATGTCTCATTTGTCATGTCTCATATTTGGCATTTCTCTTTTTTCATATGTTATTTTTGTCATGTTGCATTTGCCATGTCTGAGTGTCATGTGTTATTTTTGTCATGTGTCATATTTGTCATGTCTATCTGCCATGTGTCATTTTTGTCATGTCTCAAATTTGTCTTGTCTCATTTGCCATGTCTCATTTGTCATGTCTCATGTTTGTCATGTCTTATTTTTGTCTCTTGTTATGTCTCATATTTGTCATGTCTTATTTTTGTCATGTTGTATATTTGCCATTTGTCATTTTTGTTATGTCTCATATTTGTCTTGTCTGATTCATCATGTCCCATTTTTGTCATGTCTCATTTGTTATGTCTCATATTTTAATGTCTCCTTGTCATTTCTCATATCCGTCATGTCTCATATTATGTACTGTAGATTATTAAATCCACAAATTCTTTGACACTCAGTAACATTATTCTGAAACTGATGAACTGTTAGTTCACACAGTCTCTCACAGAGTGGTGAACCTCTCTCATCTTTCCTTCTGAACGTCATTTTTAGACCCAGTCATGTGACTTACCTGTTTGACATTCACCTCATTAGTCACTGGGGTCAAATGACACAAAGTCCAGATTCATTAGAAATGAAGGAAAAGTTAGTTTTACGGATGGCTGTTGGTAAACTTCCTCTCCCTGAGGTAGACTTGGGAAACTGGTGTGCTGGAGCAGTAATCACTTTCACTTTGTTGACTGGAGAGCAGTGAAATCTGTCAGCTTTTCTCTTTCAGAGGTGACAAAGCGTTGCCGTGTCCTCATTCTTCTTCTTCTCTCTTAAAAATAGAGGCAGCAAAGGAGCAACAGAAAAAGTAAGTTTCTACAAAGAGACTCAGAGAAAGAGAGAGGGGGGAGGGAGCAGACAAGGATTGTGTCTCACCGAGCTGTGTTATCAAAGTGATGGCTGCCATTTCTCCAAGCTGACACCTGGGCCCCTGCTCTGTCTCACACTGAGTGAACCTGTGTGTGTGTGTGTGTGTGTGTGTGTGTGTGTGTGTGTGTGTGTGTGTGTGTGTGTGAGCGCGCGCGCGTGTGCGCGTGTGTGTGTGTGTGTGTGTGGATGCGGTGTGAGGGAGATGACATTCTGTACCTGACAGTGATGATTACAGGTTGTCAGGAATTTAAAGTCAGAAACACAGAACAGGAGCGTGGAGAGAAAACCAGAAAACGAGTGATAAGTGAGGAGGCATGTGGCTCCTGGTGGTGAGGAGAAAGTGCAGATTCCTGATTGATGTCGCCTCCAGGGTTAATCAGAAACAGCATCAAGTAAAGAGTTCAGAAATGTCAGCCATCAAAACCAACAAATAACTGTTTCCTTCCAGTCACAGGAGTGATAAAGTGAGGGGGATAAATCATGCAGGGTGTGGAGTCGCTTCTGATAACGGTCATCTCCTGTTCCAGTTTCTCAGAACAAATCTGTCTGAAAAAGGAGGGAAACAGCAAACTTCAGGACTTCTGTAGTTTTCTAACCCTCAAAAATAAGTGTGTTTATTTTAGCACATTCACCTACAACACCGTTTATTGTTAGATCAGTAAGACGGACACAAACGTGATGGTCTTTGGATCCACCTTGAAGACCGTTAGCTACCTTTCAGAACCTTAAAGCTCACTAAATCTCACCGGGGCTTTGACAAATGCATCAGGGGTTCTTGCAGAGAGCACGCTCATAAACCCCGGTGTCATCTGCATATTCATTTGTTTTTGCTCCATTGTTTATTCAAAGCCATAATATAAAAAAGAAAAGCACAGAGGCACCAAAGTGGAGCCCAGAGGTACACCTAAAAAGTGTGGCGGTCTTAGTTAAAAAGTCTCTGTTAAAAATAAAAGCAAACACGATTTCAGTTTGGTGTTTTAATAACTCTTTTTAAAATTTACCTTCAACTTTGTGTCTCAACATCTTAACGTAATTCTGAAATTTGGTTTAAGCATTATTTTTGACAATTTGACTATATTCTCGAAGAGAATATTTCCAAAATTCACCCCTCTTAATATAATTGTACATACTCTGATGTCATGAAACAGGAAAATAGAAGGTCCTAATAATAATAATAAATCAAATATTAATAATAAAAAATAATAATTAAAAAATAATTAAAAATAAAAATAAATACAAAATAAAAATAAATAACAAGTATAAAATAAGATAATTAAAAAATATATATGATTATAAAATTAATATAAAAATAAAAATAAATACAAAATTTAAATAAATGATAAGTATCAAATAAAATAATAAGTATAAAATAAAATAATTAAGAAATAAATAAAAAATATATAATCATAAAAAAATAATACATACATAAATAGTAATTCATACATTCAGAATAAAAAAATATTTAAAAACAATAAAAAAAAATAACAATATTAAAAACAAATATAAATCAATAATTGCCCCTGGGGCACACCTTCAGCTAGCTTTAAAAAAGTCTGGAAACAACATCTCCATAGTTCAACAAATGGCCATCCTAAAGCTGAGGTCGGATTGCATGATTTCAGCCCATTTACAGCATGGTACCACAGTCATGGGTGTATTATTGGGCTGTTGCTTCATAGTCTGGGCCAAACTTTGGTGTTAACCGGGATTTAAGACCAGGAACCTTCTCTGGGTATTGAAAGATCTGGATCTGGATTGAATTGGGCCTAAAGCAGCAAACTGATCTGCAATTCCCGTCTAACTGGGTTACAATATAGAAAAAAAAGAAATCCGTCTGTAATAATGCATTTACCACCAAAACTAAAATCACTGTAGATATTTAATGCCAGTGGAAACAGTTCGGTGTGTAAACTCGCTTCATTCAAAGATGGCTGCCAGCACAGGAAATCTGGCAGAGACAACAAAAGCCGGTCAGTAGCAGCAGATGTCCACGACAGTACAGAAGGCAAATCTGAGGGCAATGTGGTGGCATATGTGTTTGCATGTATTCATACAGGTGCCTGTTCTATGTGTGTGGCTGTTTTTGCATACATGCATAACAGACCTTTTGATGAACTCCAGTTTGAGTCCTCCTGAGACCCCCTCCATCTGTCGCTCCAAGTGTTAATGGAGTTTACCACTGCTCTACTTCCACTGAAGTGATGATGAGGAGCGGTGAGAGGGAGGAAGAAAGAAACAAGAGCGAGAGAATGGATCCACCTAAGAAGAGAAATGAGGAAAGGGGATTAATTATCTGAATAAATGCATTAGCTGATTATTCCGTGTATGAGAGGACAATCTTTCCTCCAGGTTTCTCTTGGCTTACGGCACAGTCTCCTGTGCATCACCCCGACTGTGCCATCCTCAGAGAGATGTGTGCGGCCGATATCTTTGGGGTTCAGGAAATTAATATTTGGCAAGCTGTTAAGGTCCGCTGAGCGCTCCCCCATCTGTTTACACAGGTAGTCTTTAGTTATTCTAATGATCCTGAATGGAGTCTGCCCCTATCTGCATCCACGACTCAGTTCATCATTACTGAGGGGAAACATGTGCATGAATATTAACACAGACACCAGATGAATGAAGTCCACAACTCACCTCCCAGGGTTTATTTTAGGGACACCGTCTCAGGTTTGAGGAATTTTTTAAAAAATGGACCAGACTGTCTTCACCTCTTCTCCTCGCCATCATGGTGAAACACTCACATATCAGCTCTGTCCAACCAAGAGGAGGCAGCCTTCGAATGACCCAGAAAAACCCAGAGTTTTGGAAGACCCAGCTTCGAGAGGTCTAAGTCTTCTCACGATAAAACCTTTAAAGAGCCCAGTTTTTTAATGACCAAGGTTTTAAATGACCCAGCTTTTAGAGGACCCAACCTTCGAAGGACCCAGTTTTGAAAGATCCAAGTTTCATAGCTTTTGGAGGACCTAACCTTCAAATTATTCCCGCCTTTTAAAAGACCCAACCTTGGGAAGTCTTCCCAGGACAAAACCTTTGAAAGACCCAGGTTTTAAAGGACCTAGCTATTAGAGGACCAAACCTTCAAATGACCCAGACTTTTCAAAGATTCTGTTTTGAAAGACCCATACTCAGGAGGTCTCAGTCTACACAGGATGAAACCTTTGAAATACCCAGTTTTTAAAAGACCCAGCATTTAAAAGGCCTGGCCTTTAGAGGACCCAACCTTTGAAGGACCCAGTTTTTTAAAATGCCCAGCTTTTGATGGACCAGTATTTTCAATGATCCTGACATTTGTAAGATCCTGAATTCTGAAAAAATCCAGGTTTTTAAGGACCTAGCATTTAAAGGTACCCAACCTTTGAAGGACCCAGACTTTTGAACAACCCGACCTCCCGAGGTCTCAGTCTTCTCAGGACAAAACCTTTGACGGACCCAGTTTTTGAAGCGGCCAGCTTTTGATGGACATAACTTTTTAAAGATTCTGACTTAAAAGAACCCAGTTTTTGAAAGACCAAGACTTTAAAACAACTGGACCTCCCGAGGTCTCAGTCCTCTCAGGACAAAACCTTTGAAGACCCAGGTTTTAAAAGACCTAGCTATTAGAGGACCCCACCTTCAAATGACCCAGACTTTTCAAAGACCCAGCTTTTAAAGGGCCTGGCTTTTAGAGAACCCAACCTTTGAAGGACCCAGACTTTTGAACAACCCGACCTCAGAGGTCTCAGTCTTCTCAGGACAAAACCTTTGAAGAACCCAGCTTTTGAAAGACCCAGGTTTTAAAGGACCTAGCTTTTAGAGGACCCAACCTTTGCAGGACCCAGGCTTATGAAAGATTCTGTTTTGAAAGACCTAACCTCAGAGGTCTTAGTCTTCTCAGGACAAAACTTTTGAAGAACCCAGCTTTTGAAAGGCCCAGGTTTTAAAGGACCTAGCTTTTGGAGGACCCAACTTTTGCAGGACCCAGAATTTTAAAGAGTTCAGTTTTTGATGGACCTTGTTTTTTAAAGATACTGACTTTTGAAAGACCCAGAATTCTGAAAGACCCATGTTTTAAAGGACCTAGTGTTAAGATGACCCAACCTTCGAAGGACCCAGGTTTTAAAGGACCTTGCTATTGAAGGACCCAGTTTTTTAAAGACCCAGGTTTTAAAGGACCTAGCTTTTGGAGGACCCAATCTTTGAAGGACCCAGTTTTGAAAGACCCAAGTTTCGAAGGACATGTTTTTTAAAGGACCAGACCTTCAATTGACCAAGATTTTTAGGGGACCCTGTTTGAAAAGACCCAATCTTGGGAGGGCTCAGTCTTCTCAGGACAAAACCCTTGAAAAACCTAGCATTTGGAAGACGCAGGTTTTAAGGGAACCAGTTTTTAGATGACCCAACCTTTACAGGACCAAGAATTTTCAAACATCCCGATTAGAAAGACCCAACCTCAGAGGTCTCAGTCTTCTCAGGACGAAACCTTTGAAGAGCCCAGTTTTCAAAAGACCCACGTTTGAAATGACATAGCTTTTGGAGGACCCAACCTTCGAAAGACCCAATTTTTGAAGAGCCCAGCTTTTGATAGACCTGGCTATTAAAAGATCCTGACTTCTGAAAGACCCAGAATTCTGAAAGACCGAGGTTTTAAAGGACCTAGCATTTAGAGGATCCAACCTTCAAAGGACCCAGTTTTTGAAGAGCCCACCTTTTGATGGACATGGCTTTTTAAAGATACTGACTTTAAAGAACCCAGTTTTTGAAACACCCAGGTTTTAAAGGACATAGATTTCAGAGGACCCAACCTTCAAAGGACCTGGGTTTTAAAGGACCTTGCTATTGGAGGACCCAACCTTTGAAGGATCAAGTTTTGAAAGCCTTAAGTTTCAAAGGACCTAGCTTTTAGAGGACCCAACCTTCAAAAGAGCCCAGCTTTCGATGGACCTGGCTTTTCAATGACCCAGACTTTTGAAAGATCCTGACTTTTGAAAGACCCAACCTTCCAAGGTCTCAGTCTTTTCAGGACAAAAACTTTGAAGAACCCAGTATTTGAAAGACCCAGGTTTGAAAAGATATAGCTTTTTAGAGTGCTAGTTGCTTTTTAGAGGACTCAAACTTCGCATGTCCCAGACCTTTGAAAGACCCGGACTTTGAAAGACCTGACCTCTGAAAAAACAAGTTTTTGAAAAACCATGGTTTCAAACGACAAAGCTTTTAGAGAACCCAACCTTTGAATGACCCAGACATTTCAGAGATCCGGTTTTGAAAGACCCAACCATGGAGGTCTCAGTCTTCTCAGGACAAAACCTTTGAAGAACCCAGTTTTTTAAAAAAAAGACCCAGGTTTTGAAGGACCTAGCATTTAGAGGACCCAGCCTTCGAAAGACCCAGAATTCTAAAAGACCCAGGTTTTAAAGGACCTAGTGTTAAGAGGATCCAACCTTCGAAGGACCCAGTTTTTAAAGAGCCCAGCTTCTGATGGACCTGGCTTTTCAAAGATCCTGACTTTAAAGGACCAAACAACAACCAACCTGTTGAATCATGTTGGAATAAGTTACAGTGACTGCAGGATTAGCAGGTCGATTCATCCTTTACTCTTACTTGAGATTCCTGGTCCAGGATTTTTGAGTACCCAGCGAAAAATGAGCTACCCAGTGAGCCCTGGGTCTACCACAGTAATTCCTCCCAGGTAGACATGCCCAGGAAACCTCTCAACAGAGATATCAAGTCCAGGATGCGTCTTCAGTGGACTCCAAGCCACCTTGGTTGGTTCCTGAGGATGTGAAGAAATCTTGTTTTCTTCTGTCAGACTCTACCGTGGCTCTGCATTTGAAAATATACTGTGTACACCAAACTGCAGCAGTGAATAAATTAAACGACCATAAATCAAAGTATTTCACTTTGGAGCTGCACGACAAAGACCACGAGTGGTTTTGTAGAGAGAGCTATAATGATGAGCCGAGAAAAAGGACTGAGTGACTGAACTTGGTTGAAACTGTCTTGTCTTAATACAGATTGACTTATATATATATATATATATATATATATATATATATATATATATATATATATAGTGTAGCTATAATTAGGTGTAATGAGATCTCTTGATTGGAACAGACATCCTCTTATCAGCTGATTAGTAGAAAACACAGGTTTATTATAACAGTTCTTACTCTCCGCTTGTTTTCCTCAGACCGTATCTATAAATGCTAATGTACCCGCACGCTTTCATTCCAGCAGGTTCCAGTTTAGAGTTGTAGATCCTCGTGGTCGACGTACTTGGAAATAAGAAGTGAATTGTTCTAATTTGCAGGAGAACGTCAAACCCGAGAGAACAGGAGGAGAGTGGATGTTTGTTTTTTTTTTTGTGTGAGTGTGTGTTAGTGTGTCCCTGTGTGTAGAAGTAGGTCAAGGATGTTTGTGCAGTAGTGCTAGTTGATGTGATTAACTATTGCGAGATGAAACATGAATAAAACAGTCTGTTTGAATGTGCTTTGTGACGACCTTTCCAGTAACGAGCCCTAGTTTCCACTAATGACTGATCCAGGATATCATCTATTCGCACACACACACACACACACACACACACACACACACACACACACACACACACACACACACACACATGCACAGAGGCTGCAGCGCCAGGAGAGTTTACGAGTACACTGAAAAAAAACTGGCCTCTGTTTAACTGGAAACTTGGCAGTGTTTGCAGGAACAACGTCATATCAGAACTCTGCTCTGCAGAGTTTTTGTGCTGCTCTAATTGGATCTGTCTCATCGTTTTAGGATGTCAAAGAATGTTCAACAAATTAGCCAACTAATGTTTGTTATAGCAGGATTAAATCATTGGAAAAATACCTTTATTTTAGTTTAATGTGTTTTGGATAAAAAAAAAAAAAAAACACTAAAGTGAATAATTCTCCATCTTAAAAAAAATGTACCTCTTTGAAACTATGAAAACTTTCAACCGGCCAGGATCAGCCTGATTTGTTCATGAAAAATCCTCAAAAGTTCTGAATGTTATTGGTCTTGATATTCAACCACTGCAATACAACATTGAAAGAACTTTTCACGGATAATATGATTTAATTTTAACACCAAAAGATGACTTCTTGGTGTGTTTTACTCTTGCGACTACAGAATGGCAGACCAGTGTCCATGACTGAGGCCAAAATGTTTGAGTTATCTAAAAT